AAAAAGTGCCTGGTGTTTTTTTACACTTCCAACAATTTGGGGCCAGATTTTTAAACATTTTGGATTAGGTGGTGCAATCTTCCTTCTGGAGAAAGTTAACTGCAATTTCACGGGTACAGAGAAGATCATTAAGTATTTTTTTTTAAAAAAAAATCCTATGTCAACGTTTTAAGTAATACCTCCCATTGCAGAGTAATACTTCCTTCCGAGGCAGATTGATTCCTCAAAGAACAGCGTTATTGGGAAATATCATCTTGGCACAACTGGTGGGAAGCCAACTCTAAATGTTCCTGGGCTTTCCAACACATTAAAAAAGTAAAGATTCCCTGTTTTCCCAATCTGGATACTGGCAGGTTGTCTAGCTATGTCTCACTTCCTCCTCTGGGCAGCCACCTGTTGGAATGTCCCTGACTCACCGGAGAGCTATGTTGTTGGGACTACAAACCCACATCTACCTCTACACCCTGCTTCAGCTCCAATCGGTGTCAGCCTGAAGACATGTGCAAAGAAACCCCAATAGGAACCTTCCCCTACCCCCCAGAAAGGAAAACAGGCCACAGCTAGATCAGCTTCAGTTTAATTAAGCCTTAGCTCATTTTGTAAGCTAACCAGTGGTGGGTTGCATATTTCATTACCACCATTTTGCCGTGCATGTGCTTTGCTCATGAACGCACCTTCTGCTCATGTGCCCGCCCTCAAAAACCATGCCTAAATAGGATGGCATTTCCACTACCGGTTTCGACAAACCGGTTCGAAGCGGCTGAATACCACCTCTGTAGATGCCCGCGTGCACACACGCACACACGTATATTCTCATTTGGGTCTTGTTCTTTATCTCTCAGGCATCAGGGTTGAGTGATCTGGGAGTTGGGAGTGGGAGTTGTGTGACTAACTCCTCTTTTGCTTTAGTCGTGAATAAATATGGATATCCCTCCATATTCCAGAGCCAGTACAGACCTGGAAGATAATTGTTCCAAGTCTTTTTTCCCCTTCTTTTGCAGAGTAAATATTAAAAGCAATCCTATTTTTATTTTCAATAAATCTTTCTCCCCTGTAGGAAAACCTAGTTATTTTCTGGGGGAATACCAGAAATATTCCAGCTGAATCAGTGGTGGGATTCAGCCAGTTCGCACCTATTCGGGAGAACCTGTTGTTAACTTTCTAAGAAGTTCAGAGAACCGGTTTTTGGAAGAAATCTCCTTTTGTTTTTTTCCACTTTACAGGGCTAATCCTGGAAGGAAGGAAGGAAGGAAGGAAGGAAGGAAGGAAGGAAGGAAGGAAGGAAGGAAGGAAGNCAAGATGTAATGTAAGATTATCATTTTTGTGTGTTGTTTGTTTAGTAAAAATAAAAAAAGTTTATAAAAATAAGAAAGAAAAGCAAGGGCAAACCCAGCTCTTGCCTATGGACACTAAGCTCTCTACCAGCAGCTTTCTTATCTGCCCCCATTTCTTCATCTTAACTTCACTCCGATTGTGATTAATTCCACTTAGAGACATTTTATAATCAGATGCTTAGTATCTAAGTTACTTCCTTATTTTTGGCAAATTCTGGACAATTTTCTCCAAGTTTTGATTCCTTTAATGACTTCTCAACTCTAATGTAAGTAAGTGGTTGGGTTAGATGCAGTGTACGAATGTGTGACTGGTTTGTATCCTGGAAGAAAACAAAATAACCAGCCATTACATTTCCGAAAGCTCTGCAGGTCTTCTTGTTCTATAGGTCTTCTGATTATTATTATTACAATATCTATTTTCGTTTCAATTCTGGTTTAAGACAGAACTTTGCATTTTCCTTCTCTCTGGGGGAAGAGTAGAACTCATGTAATATATGGACATGATATCATAGTAAAATAATAGTAAAAATGCCCAATGTTAAACAATGTAATATAACTTTCCTCAGGGAAATACCACTATTTCAGGGGTGAAATCCTACCGGTTTGGACCTGATCGGGAGAACCGGTAGCAGACATTTGGCCTGGACCACTGGCAGGCCACGCCTCTGAACTGGTCCCCTGTTCACTGCTTGCTTGCCCTGCCCAGTCTCTGCTTTCTACCATCCAAGCCTGCCTCCCCTACTCCCTTCCCCGTGGTCCACAGCTCTGCCATGCTTGCCTGCCTTCCACACGGCTTTCCCAGTGTCCCCGTGGCTAGCTTGCAAAGGCAGGCAAGCAGAGGGCCACTTGGAAGGCAGGCAAGCATGTCAGGCCTGCCTTCCACGCATCCTTTCTGGCAGTCCCTCATGCCTAGGGTGACTAGACGTCCCGCATTTGGTGGGACAGCCACGCCTTTTCATAATTTTTCCCGCGTCCTGGGGCATTCTCAAAATATCCCGCTTTANTTAGAAATGAAGATGGGAACCCATCAGGAGTTAATCACTTTTATAGTGGCACCTGGCATGGACCGGCCCCTTATTTTTGGACTCCCCTGGCTTGGGGAGGGGTTTCATTGAACCAGCTAGACCCAAGGTGGCAGCATCTGTGCTCTTCAGAGAAAAGAAAGATGGCTCTCTCAGATTATGTGTGAATTTCAAAAATTTAAACAGTATCTCTGTCCAGAACCTCTATCCGTTGCCACTAATGAAGGACATGTTAGCCCAACTGGGCAATGGCCGCATTTTTACTAAACTAGACTTACGGGAGGCATACTAGAATGACAAAGACCCTCTTAATGACTGCAGTCCTACCTGAGAAGAGGAATGGCTGCAATTCCTGGTAGGAGTGGCCAAAGAGTTGGTCTCCATCCTTTCCTTTCAGCTGTTTATTATTTTTAAGCACATCACAGTTTTAACTACATGTTTTAAAGTTTTTTCTTTGGTTTTTATTTTTAAATGTTAATTGGCTGGTTGAATGCTGATTTATTCTAACCCTTTGCTGGACCTGAATTTTGTCTGTGTGTTTTTACTGATTGATTTTGCAGTAGTGAAGTACTTTCACTTTTTTCTTACATCAGTTGATGATGATTATCTCTTTCTTCTGTGCTTCTTTGTTAGTTTCCATCCATTGCTTCTTGTCTTGCCCTATTTTCCAAAGCATCAGAAGGCAAGAAGCAATGGAAATAAATTAACCAAGGACAGAAGCAACCTAGAATTAAGGAGAACTTTCCTGACAATAGAACAATCACCCAGTGGAAGGGCTTGACTTCAGAAATTGTGGGTGCTCCATCACTGGATGCATTAAGAAGAGAGTGGACTGTATTTATTTAAAATTGTATAGGGTCTTCTGCTTCAGCAGGGGGTTGGACTAGAAGACCCACCTTCTGACTCTGTTATTTTGTATTCTGATTTCCTGTGTAGTGAAAGTGATCTGATCTGATTTATATTTACAATTGGATTTTCACTAAAGGAACTCCACATTCTATTCATTTTTTTAAAATCTAGTCTTATTGTTTCTTTTAGTCTTTGATGGAATTTTCCCCCTTTCCCATCTATTTTTATTGTGGAAAACATTATCTCAATGTTCCCTGAGGTATTTAATTGATATTATCAGCACCTTTATTATTATCAGCACTTCTGAGGTAAAGAAAATTCAATTTATGTCTGAAAAAAGTATAGCAAAAACATTTCTACAAATCTTTCTTAAACTTTGCACTCTTCATGAGCAAACATTCTCCCACATTCTGTTGAATTAGCTTAACAATTAAACATTAGCTGAAACAAGAGTATACATTTGTTTTTCCCAGTCACAAAACTAGTTGTGAGACATGTTGATATTTAGAATCTAAAAATCAAGCAATGCTATTTATTTTAAAGATAGTGACCTGTGAAATACTGAGTGAGGTGCTGTGTGCTTTAAGGCAATAGCAAAATTATAATAATTATATAGGAGGGATTATTATTATAGTTGATGTAGGATATGTGAAGGGGTAACCCGTTTGAACTATATGGGAAGGAAGTGGATGGTGGAACATGCAGAGAAAAAAACAACTAAGTCAAAGAGATGGAAGTAAATAAGGTCTTATTGAGTCTAAACATCCAAAACATACACTTGCTGGGGATTTCAACAATCAGCAATATTTCAAACTTAATAAATATCTACATTTTAAAAAAATCTAGATTTCATATATTTTGCTAAAGAAAATTGTTTTTACTATAGCTTGTTAAAGAAGGCATAACATTAAACCATAAAACTATTTTAACACAGATGCAGTTCTTCGTTCAAGAAGTGACTCCTGTGATCTCCACAGAGAAAGAATCTATCTAGCTTCTTTACAAAATTTTAAAGAATTTTCACTTTAAACATCTTCAAACAGGAGGAGGCAATGTTCCCCTCTCCTCCTTCACAAATTCAATAAGAAGCTTATCAAACCTGTAATTCTGAACAGACAAGAATAAGCATTTGTAGTTGAAAAATAACAACTATACGGACATACAGATAGATACTGAGATTAAAACAATACAAATCTATGGAACAAGCCTCATGTACTGAGAGGCTTGTTCAGAATTAGCAGTTCATCCTCTTTCACACACAGACTGCAGAACATATTTAAACAAACCAAGCTTCCCCTAAAACTCTGTTAAAATGCCCAGTGCCACAGCTGCTTCTTTAACATGCAGCGGTTTTTCTCACCATCCTCTGCTTGGCTAATTGAACCCTCCTTCTGGATTTGTTCTCCACCATCCTGATGCCTTTACATTCAATCCACTTCTCCTCTTGTTTCTCCCAGCTAATTCACTGAGGTGATTTTTTTCACTATGAAAATTTACCAACTTCTTTCTCTGTTGGCCAAGCTTACCAATGGATATTCTATTTTACAACTTATTTACTGATGACTGCTCTTTTTTTCTTGGTTTAAAGTTCTGTGTCTTAATATTCTCATCTCCTTGAGTTGCCACTTTGACCACCAAACATTTTCTTTTCTTCTATTTCTTAGTAGGCTAACTTCTTTTACTTTTCTCCTTTCTTGCCCATATATTCTATTTGTATCAGTGTGTGCAATTATCCACAGCTTTTTTTTAGCTATCTAACTTTTCTAAATTTGGTACTCAGAAAAGCAAGGACAGGAGGAGGAGTCAATGTCTCCATGGTACGGACATGCAGTCTCGATGCTCTGAGACTGCAGCCAGTACTTTTGCCACTGGGGGGTTCAATCGGACCTAAATCGTCCCGAAGAGATGGTGAACAGGAAGAATACATCTGGCTGATCTCGGGGATAATGCAAAATCCCTGAAAAAAGCAAGAAAAAGTCTTCAAGCTAGTGACAAAAGACAGCTTATGCTGATGCAGTGGGAGATGGATGGCTATGGAACAGAAGGGAACAGAAAGTGAAGTGTGATTCAACTGGGGAATTCTTTCTGTTTTGGAAAAAACAACTGCCCAAAATAATCTCTTTTTTATGCTAAACTAAACCCACAACCAGAAGAAGTCAGCGGCGAAATTGATCTTCATTGTTTTGTTGTGTATATTTTTCTTCTTGTAATTATTGAAATGCTTTCCGCAACTTTTTCTCCCCCCCCCCCCTCTGCTTAAAGTGAACGGACTGTTTTTTCCTCTTTGGTCTCTGCATTATTCTTCAACTAAAGGACTAAAATCTCCCTCTTTATTTTAACAAAAATTGTCTACTATTTGCTATTAAACTCCACTTAAGAACTTTGTTCCTCCTAAATCTGAGTCAACACAAGAAAGTGGAAAAAAAATACTAATTTTGCTGCTCAGAAGCTTAATGTTTTCGTGCTTCAAAGCTCTGTAACTAAAAGTGATAAGAATCAAAACTAAAATTGTTTACCACAGCTGTCTCTTGAGAGCCTTATCGGTACTGGGAGAAAGAAAAAGAAACGGAACCTCTCTCTTGTGAAGATTGAAGCTATAGCGGCAGTAATTTACAATTTGGAACAAAGTTCTTAAGTGGAGTTTAATAGCAAATAGTAGACAATTTTTGTTAAAATAAAGAGAGAGATTTTAGTCCTTTAGTTGAAGAATAATGCAGAGAGCAA